TTCCGACCGACCATATGTACGCTTCAGGACCTAGCCCTCTGTTAGCCTCCGACGTCTATGAATTCGACTGCAACAGTCGAGATTGACTTTGTGGCTTAGGCATTTTCCTGACCGCTGTACTATCTCCCTCCCCTCCCCCCCAAAATACTTGCTTCTTACTTCGCTTTCTTTCCCCATCCGCCAGGCGACGCGCATTTGACGCCGGCCCTACACCAGCTACCCCGCTCTCTCTCGCCTGCCGCTGCGTCTTACAACTTTTCGATACTCCCGATTCGCCAGGCATCGCCGCAGAACGGTTTGCCGCATTACGCCAGACCCCCCGACGGTCCATTGACGACTTCGCAACCGAGCTTACACGACTTGCGTCTGCAGCGTTCCCCAATCTACCACCTCCCGACCGCGACGACCTTATTCTCCACCGATTTGTATCAGGCCTCCTCGACCATACGATCAATGACTATTTCCTCCTCCACCCCCCGCGTACCCTCAACGACGCCCTACGGCAATGCCGCTATATCTCACATACCATCGCACCCACGAACCCCATCCGAGACCCTCGTTACCCCCAACTCGCTCAGAGCCCCAGGTCTCAGATAGACGGAACCCCTTGCCTGTCCGTTTCCCTGATCACAACCCTGGCTGCCAGTACTACACAGACTTCGGACCTCGAGCACGCCACTGCGGCCACAACCCACCATGTAAGTCCGCCTCTATAGATTCTATCTACTTTCATGACTTTTTCCCTGTCCCCGCTTTTACCGTACCGGTACTTCTGGATAACCACCCCACTCAGGCGTTAGTAGATACGGGTGCCAACGTGTCGCTTGCCACCGTCCACAAGTTGCCCAATCACTTACGCGACACGGACCTCGTTATGTGCTGAGCCTATGACACCTCGAAGGTGAGTGGCGTATTCATGAAGTATGGTCGGGTCGGGAGTCGGTAGGGGGTAGCGAAGGTCGACTGGGAGCCATAGGTCACGGCCAGTCCAAAGGTAGTGGGGGTGATCCCCGTAGACGAATGTACGGCTCCGTGATAAGCTAGGAAGCACAGGGGCTAGTGTGGATCCCAGTCGTGTTCGTAACCATCCTGTGAAAATGCGAGCAAAAGGTTGTGTAAGGTTCGATTAGTTCTTTCCACGAAGCCGTTGCCTTCGGGGGGATACAGGGTAGTTCGAGTTTTGCGAATCTTTAGTATCTCGCGGACCTCTTGTAGGAGCTGTGACTCGAAATTGACGCCGCGTCCTGGCGGACGAGTGGTGCAGCTTCCACTCACTTAGTGAAGTCGTCCACCATGACCAGGACGTACTCGAATCCGCGCACCGAGATCGGCAAGTGTCCTAAGATGTCCTGGCCGACACGCTCGCTCGGGAATCCGGTAGTCATAGGCTGCAGCGGGGCACGGGATGATGGGTAGGGGGGTTTGAATGTGGCGCATGTAGCGCAGACTGGAAGAAATGCTGGACTGACGAGCGTAGTTGTGGCCACCAGAAATGGTCGCGGACGGCGAGTTCCATGTGGCGTTGGCCACTGTGTCCTAGTTGTGCGTGGACGTCAGTGAGGATGGATTCTATCAAACATCCGGGAACGACTAGCCGTAACCGGTTGGATGCAGGGTCGCGGAGAAACAATATTTCATTTTCGATAGTTAGGTAGGGCCATTGGTTGAGCAATAGGCGGGCGCTCTGGCTAGCGCCTCTCATCTCCTGCTCGGCAGGTTTGGGAAGTCCTTGGCTCAAATGGCGGTAGATGGTGGCCGTGTCGGGGTCCGTAATTTGCGCTGTTATCCAGGCGTGACGTGTAGGTTCTAACACGACAATAGCGTTTACGTCGGCTGTATGCGCACTAGGGTCTGTGTCGGTTAAATGGGGTAGGCGAGAAAGGGCGTCTGCATTGCCTTGCTTGTGGCCTGGTCGGTACAGGCATTCAAAGTCGAAGTACCATAGGGACTCCTCCAGCGTGCCAGCTGGTCCATAGGGTCCTTGAAGGACCGCAGCCACTGCAGTGCTCTGTGGTCTGTGCGGAGGATGAAACGTTGTCCGATCAACAAGTGCTTGGACTGGCGTAGGGACTCAACAATCGCCGGGAGCTCGCGGCGGAAGGTACAGTAGTTCCTCTGCGGTTTGGTGAGAGTGTTGCTTGCGAAGCAGATCGGGTGTTCCACACCGTTCGCATCGGCTTGGGAGAGTACGGCTCCGATGGCGTAGCCATTGGCATCAATGTCTAAGATAAATGGGGGTGCGTCCTTATCGATGTTTGGGAGGGAAAGTAGGGGAGCCAAGCACAAGGCGGCACACAGATCGGTGAAAGCGCAGGCACAGTCGTCTGACCAGACAAACGGTCTGTTTTTCTCCCTAAGTTTGTGTAAGGGGTTGGAGATATGGGCGAAATCGCGGATAAAACGGCGATAGTATGACGCTAACCCAAAGAAACTGCGCAACCCCATCTGGTTGGAGGGGGTTGGTCACGTGCAGATACACTCGATGCGGTCAGGGAGGGGTGAGATACGCCCCGGGAAGATTAAATGACCCAAGAAATTTACCTCGCGACGTAAAAAAGGCACTTAGTGGAGTTAAGGGTCAGACCCGCAGACCGAAGAGCTTCCAACACCGCGCGCAAGTCATGGTTGTGTTCGTCGATAGACCTCCCAAACACTATAATGTCATCGAGGTAGATGAGACACTTGTCCGGAATGAGGGGTTGCAGGACGCGGTACATAAGGCGCTGGAAAGTGGCGGTGGCGTTTCACAGGCCAAACGGGAGGGCTTGGAACTTATACAAACCTTGTGGTACCGTGAAGGCGGTTTTATGGCGGTCGTCTGGGTGTATCCCTACCTGCCAATAAACGGATTTAAGGTCCAGTGATGAGAACCATGCCGCATTTCCTAGGGCGTCCAGGGTGTCGTCTAGACGCGGGAGTGGAAAGGAATCGCGGACTGTCACGGCTTTAAGGCGACGGTAATTTGTACACAGCCGGGCGGATCCGTTCTTCTTGGGCACAAGGGCGATGGGAGAAGCTCATGGGGACGACGAAGGCTGGATGATTTTAGCCTGCAGCAGTTCATCTAACAGCTTGTTGACCTCTTCGCGGTAGCGCCTGGGGATGCGACGCGGAGGTTGCCACACGGGTTTGGCGTCTCCTGTGTCGATCGTGTGCTGAATCAGGTGTGTACGTCCGATGGTGTCGGTGGACCATGCAAAAAGGTCTGGGAATGAGTTGAGGAGGGTCTTAAGCTGGTCGTGCGCGACCGGACCGACTACTGAGGCGGAGGGAAGGACGGTATCTAATGGAATGGGATCTAACGCTACGGCAGAAAGTACTGAGTTATACATGAGGTCGAAGTCGTCTATTGTGGTTGGGGGGGGGGCAGACGTGGTAGTGTTTCGGTCGCGTGCGAGGTGCCGTTCGTGGACATGGACTACACAATCGTGAGCCTCTAAGAAGTCAAGCCCGAGAACGAGAGGCCAGGGACCATCGGGGGTAACTAAGAACCTATGGGAAACACGCGTGTTCTCAATCATAAGTTGCAGCGAAACAGTGGCCGAAACGGCTATCGCCGTGCCGTTGGCGGTGCGGAGAGAGCGAGTCGCCGGAAGTAGGTCTACGTGACGTAGTAGGTGATTGGGAAGCTTGTGGATGGTGACAAGCGACACATTAACGCCCGTGTCTACTAACGCCCGGGTGGGATGACTATCCACAAGTACCGGCACAGTAAAAGCGGGGATAGAAAAAAGTCTTGAAAGTAAATAGCATCAATGGGGGCGGACTTACACGGTGGGTTGTGGCCACAGTGGCGAGCTCGGGGTCGAAAAGCTGCGCAGTACTGGCAGCCAGGGTTATGATCGGGGAAGCGGACCGGCAGAGGGTTCCGTCTATCTGGGCCTGGGGTGCCGGACGGGCTGGGGGTCTCGGAGGGGGTTGGTGGGCTCGGTGGTATGTGAGGTATAGGCGACACTGCCGCAGAGCGTCGTTAAGGGTACGCGGGGGGTGGAGAAGGAAGGAATCTGTGATCGTGCGGTCAAGGAGGCCTGAAATGAAACGGTGGAGGATAAGGTCGTCCCGATCGGGGTGTGGTAAATTGGGGAAAGCCGCGGAGGCAAGTCGGGTGAGTTCCGTCGCAAAGTCGTCAACAGATTGCCGGGGGTCCTGGTGTAACGTGGCAAATCGCTCTGCCGCGATGCCTGGCGCGTCGGGGGTATCGAACAGTTGTATAACGCAACGGCAGGCGATGGGGAAGGGAGTGGCTGGTGAAAGGCCGGCATCAAGTGCGCGTCGCCTGGCGGATAGGGAAAGAAAATGGTGTAAGAAGCACGTATGCTGGTGGGGTGGGACATCGGTCAGGAGAAGGTCTGAATCACAGCCAATCTCGAATGTTGCGACCGGGTTCGTAGAAGTCCGGGGCTAACAGAGGGCTAGACCCTGAAGTGCACATACGGTCGGTCGGAGGAGCTGCTGGGGGAGGGTGGGGAAAGTGTGTCGACGAAAGGGTTCGTGGGTGAATTAGCTGCCACCAATGTAGCGGCCGCGTAGGGTTGAGCTTGGGAAGGCTCATAATGGTCTGACCCCGAGCACGATGCCTTGGGTTCTTTCCGACGGGAAGACAAGGAAAACCCCTCTAAAAGTTGCGTTACTCCCTCATACACACTGTCTCTGTGCTCTCCGCCAACCGCCCTCTGACAATCACGCCTTGCCCTAGTTTATCTTTGTAATTAGACCCTCTCTTTAGTTTCTTATTGTACATAGGACGTCAAGTACATAGTAGTTGCTTGGGTCTTGCTTTCCTTGGGCCGCCTTCGCATTGACATTTGGGTTAGTTACAATTTGGTGGCAGCGGTGACCCTAGTCGATATGTCGGACAACCTGATCAGTAAGCTTGTTAATGAGTTGCAAAAACTTGCTCTCCCAACCGCCAGCGATCCACCGCCAGCCAAGCCCAGTCGTTCGGGAAATTTCGACCGGTGTGCCTCTCGCATGGAGAACTACCTAAGGGGGATTGGTGCCAAGAGCCACGGCTCAGTTATTCTCGCCCAGCTCGATGATGACGTGTACAACCTGGCTCGGGCAGCTGGCGTGTCTTCCACTATGACCAGCACCGAAATCCTTCAGAAATTGCGGCAACTCCTTTGTGGCACAACGCCCTCCTGGCTGGAATGGTCTGAGTTTCGCCGCCAAACACAAGAGCCCCTCGAAGGTGTGCTCGAATCCCGACAGGCCCTCCGTCTCCTTGGACGATGAGCTTTTCCTTCCATGCCGACCGCCGAGCTGCAGCAGATGCTTTTAGAACAATTCATCACCGGCGTGTCAGGCCCGGAGGTTCGCAGCCCTGCACTTTCGACGCTGCCCTTCGTCTTCCTCAGCAGGAGGAGACGCTTCAGACTGCGTGTCTTGCCCGTCCTCGGGACCTGTTTGGAGTTGCGTCTGTGCGCCCGAAGCCCACGGCTGATGCCGGCGCCCAAACTCCCTGGCGTCCGTGCTCCTGTGAATGTTCTTCCCCATGACAGAACAGCTGGCGCTGACAACCGCCGCAATGGTCCCCATACCCGCCGGCCTATCCAGTCAATCGACGTCGGCCCACAAGACGGTGGTGGTGAGTACTATGTTGTATGTAATACTGTTGTTTTATGCCTAGGTGCAACTACTCGTCCTTTAGTCAACGATTTCGTAGCTAGAATGGTATTACCAACAAAGACAGGGGAGACTGGAATGGCCATTTCTGGCTTGTTAGCCGTCGTCAGTCAGTCATACCCAACCCCGAAGTGTGGAACACCCGAGGCTCGAACTCGCGACCTGTTGGCTAGAAGTCCACGCCTCTAACCACTGGGCCACGAGTCCGTTGCCCTGACGGTTTCGATCGGGAATGTAGAATGGTAGGGGGCGCTCACCGATCGTTCTTGCGGAACTCCTTCGTTCCGTTGTGCCTTACGGGCTCTCTCTCTCTCTCTCTCGAGCCCAAGCAACAGGTAAGGTAAGGTATTTTAAGGTATAAGGTAGTATTAGTCCTTCATGCCCAATAGACTCATGCGCTGGTTGTTCTTTGATACGTCAGCAGCCCGTTTCAGAATTCCAAACGAGGATTAGGTATAGTGAGAGGCCGAATATCACGCTTCATACTACAAAGGGCACTAGTCTCAGCCATACTGGTCTTGCGGAGTTTTCCCTTGACCTCTCAGGTTTTAGCTTTTCCCACCAATTTGTTGTGTCCCGGATATAACTTGGGATTGTATAATAGGTGTTGACTTTTTGAATAAGTTTAAATGTTCCCTTGACTTTGGTAAGCGTCTTCTACGGGCCGCCACGGTCACTGTGCCTTTTTAGCAGTATCCCTCAACCACGACGGCTACCCACTTGCACTGTTAGTGTTGATGTTAAGGATCTAGTCCCGGCACACCTCGACGAAGGTAGCACCAGGAAGCTCTGCCAGTTGATAAGCGAATTCAGAGATATCTTTGACGGTGACCGCAAGTCCACGGGGAGGACGGGTGTGACGGAGCACTGCTTTGACACGACGATGTGAGACCGATCAGGGTTCCCCTCAGGCGACCCCCAGTATTTTACCAGAAGGAACTAGACACACTTTCCAATTATATGCTCATCCGTATTATTATACGGCCCTCTCATTCGCCTTACTTGCAAAGAAGAAAGACAGCACGATGCGGCTATGTATAGATTATAGGAAGCTCAATGCTGTAACGAAAAAGGACTCCTTCCCTCTTCTGTAGAGTGTGTAAGGGCCAGCATCTCTTTTCGAGTGATGCAGTAGCGTCGTTCTGCTTTCGTCGGCGATCTACTTAAGTGCTGGATAACGCGTTCGGCACCATCTGGTTGCTGCTGAGAAAAAACCGCGCCTTTTGTGGTGTCGCTGGCACCGGTGTCCAGGACGAACTTACCAGCATCAGGAAAGACTAGGACTGGAGTGGAACATAGTTTATCCTTCAGCGTCTGGAAGCTATTTGTGTAATCAGCAGCCCGTCTACGCTTGACGTTCTTCTGCGTTAGTTTGTGGAGCGACCCTGCAATTTGGGCGTAGTCTGATAAGTCGCCTGTAATAAGAGGCGAGGCCTAGGAAACTGCGGACCTCGATAACGTCCGTTGGAGTGTGCCATTCACGGATCTGCCTGACCTTTTCTCATCAGTCTCTATTCCCGCTGCAGAGACCAAACGACCTAGGAACTTCATGCGTGGTTTTAGGAAAAGACATTTGGGTGGCTGCAGGGTCAAACCAGCCTGCCGGAGGCTGTTAAACACAGTCCAAAATCTCTTCCGAGGACAATAATATCGTCTATATAGACGAGGTAGGGATTAGCTGTGCAAGGAACTGATTCATCAACCGCCGAAAAGTGCTGGGGGCGTTGGCTAGGCCGAAGGGCATCGTCTCGAACTCATAGAGACCGGAGGGGACCGCGAACGCAATCTTTTCCCTGTCAGTTGAACGCACTTCAAATTGCCAGTAGCCGGAGACTAAATCAAGCGTCGAAAACATAGTATTGCCTGCAAGGGCATCTAAAGTGGTGTCTATCCGATAAAGACCCTACAGTATCCCTATCGGGACGGCCTCCCTTTGATGAAACCGTTTCATCATCATCGTAGAATGCCTCGCGATAGTGCCGCCTGGACATTGGCCCGTTCTTCAACTCATTGTGAACGCTTTTATCGCCGGCCCAAGCAGTTCCTTTGTAAAGGAGAGGCTATAAGCCAAACATGAAACAGAAGTAGTTTTAGCGGAAAAGCCGTCGGACTGTCCCTCCATAAGACGCGTGTCGTCCATTGCTCCTGCATATGCAAGCATCCCAGACTCCTCGGGATGTTGTAAACCTTGCAGACGGTAGTTTACAGATTCCAGAATCAATAAAAAAAGCCAGCGCTGCGCAGAACAAACCATTCCATGAGCATTCACTTAGGTAACACTGAATGACTGGCAGTGATGCGAGTGTAGTCGCTACAACCGGTAGTTCACCCTTTTCTGACCTCCAATCCGCTGGACGCATACATAATCTGAAGAACAAGTCCAGGAAACCTAGGCATGTGTACGATATCTCTTTGTTCTGAACTGAATGACGCTGTACGACCCTTCTATGTACAAGTTCGACCGAACGAACCGGCCACAAGTGCAGTTATAGATGTAGAAGCAACGATATCACTAATAAAAATGCGGGAATTATTAGACATATTATACTGACTGCCTGACGATACTCTGCAGCAGACTGCTTTCAGATTAATTTTATTGGCAAGATCCCTTTGTCCACTTCAGTTCAGACCTGCTCGTACAGTGGACTGGTGCCGAGGAGAGAGAATAGAAAATAAGGCCGACTCTGCGGACTCCTTCCACATGATACTCAACGCATATTCCTCATTATAAACAATTCGACGTGCCTCTAAACTCTCATGGCTCATTAAAAGCCGTTGGCCGACATTTGGTAAGGGCATAGTACTGCCAGCCGTCCCAGCCTCCGTTATCTTACTTCTAGTTAGAATGTATTATTCTGTTGTCCAGAATCCTAAGGATTTGCATACAAACTATGGACACGTTATTCCTTCTGCTAGCTAACTTTATAGTTGTATCTGCCTTGAGCCGAACTGTGTGCCTTGAACACGGGCACAGTCGACCCCGTCTGGCAATTGCCCCGACGAATACCAATCCAATCCCATCAGGAGACCACTGTGTTAGTTGACTCAGTGTTCTCCATCCGAGTAGGTGGACAACCAAATTCAACTCTGGCATTTCCGGTTGCACCAATGTCTACAAAAATGCGAAAATCTTTGCCGCGACGTAGATTTCCGACAGTTGAACACTGACCGCTCGTGATTTCTCTGGGCTTCACCGCATTGAAATACCTCCCAACGCACTAACGAGCAAGTCGAAGTAGAACTTAAAGACTTCCACAAAACAGCTTTTAAACTCGCACGAGTTATTCTTATTTTATTGATATTCATAGATATTTTGACAGATTTTTGAATAATTCATATTGACCCAACTGTGAAAACTCGACGCCTCGGTGGGATTCGAACCCACGCAGTAAGGGGAAGGCTTTAGTACAGCCAACGCTCTAACCACTTGAGCTACGAGGCCCCGCCGGACGACGAGAGTTTAATCACATTTGGGTCAAGTTACCCGCCCAATCTACTGCAACGCTTGGAATCCACCAAATCTGATGCAGTAAGCTGACTGCCCAAGCAGGATTTCCTAAGTAATTCACCTAGAATCCACCAGATGACTGCCAGGCTCAATGTAATTCATGTGTGTTTTGGCAGATTTTTAATAATTCGCGTCGTCTGGCGGGGTTTCGTAGCTCTGGTGGTTGGAGCGTTGGCTATACTAAAGCCTTCACCGTACTGTCGTGGGTTCGAATCCCACCGAGGCGCCGAGTTTTTCACAGTTGGGTCAATATGAATTATTCTTATTTTAGACAATGCCATTTTGCCTCTGATACGTTGGTCACATGGCAGCGTCTAATGCCGGCGTGGCCTCGTATCCCTCCTCTGTCACGAGGGAGTCCCCTACGGTGACTTCTTGGGGTGGTTTTGAGGCTGGGTTTTGAGGGATGCCTTGTAAATTTTCGACCTAGGTTACGGGTTGTCGTCTTTGGGAAGCTTCACTTTACTGGAGCGTACAGTAATTGACCAGCTGTTTGGCATAGTCTCCGCAGCTGCCCCCAGTCATATGCGCTTGCCAACAAACTCTCAAAACCGAAGTATTACATTTGTAATTACACTCCCCATATTAATACTATCACCCCTTAGTAAACAGCCACTCGTGTCACCATATCTGCTTGAATGCCTGCGTGCTTGCTCGCCTAACCGATCTTATAAAAACTGAATACGACCAAGATTAGCCCATTACAGAGATGGCGGATATCGTAAGTATTACAGGAATACATGTGTTGCATGACTCACCATACTGACAGCAAAGGTACTAGTTAAAATCCCGGTCAGGTGTTTCGCCGATATTCTGCCGCCACATGACACAAAAAATACCCAGAGTCTCGTAATTTCTGGCTGCTTTACGGTTAATGATGTCTTCTTCTCCTCTTCCTCCGGGGACTTTTTGACATTCTTCCCACGTGGTAACACTGCATTGAACTTCTTATCCGTCGCCAAACGGTCCGCTCCACGATCTCACATATATCCACTCAGCTACAACAAAATGTAATAGATGTTTTTTTGATTTGTAAAGCTTGCTGCACTCAAGCAAAAGCTTCTGATCTTCAAAACTTTCATTTTTATTGCCAGGACAGTAT